TTTTATGTACTTCACCCCTGCCCAATGCACTCAACCTAACCCAATTTCCTTTAAATCCATCTATACCGGCAAACTTGGCGAATAGGTCATCCCTGTTAGAAGCAAGCCGCCATTACGATGCATGTAGTGGACACCAGGTCCTGAAAAATGCACTGATGTTCACAATCAGTGTCACTTTGTTCGTAGAAATAGTTCTGTCCATCAAAACGAGCAGCTAAATATTCTATAAACTTCTCTTTATTTCGAATAAGCTGCTTAGATTGGATAATTGGCCATTTCTAAATGCTGCAGAGCGTATCTCTCACTGCTGACATGTACAGTTGTCTGCACAGTCGGTGTAACTTGCGCAGAGTGTTCAGAGAGATAGAGTAGAACAGGAGATTCAGGTGTGAGTCATGGCCGGCGAAAAAGTGGTTCTGTAGGTTGTCCGGAATGGTCAGAGGGGTTGGAGTATGAATGAGTGTGGCATAAAGCGTGCGTATGGTAGCAACATTACGGAGGGACATTTGCAGCCCGATTGTCAGTAATGAAAAAGGCCGAGGCAGACCATACAGTTGGCAACCTTCTAGGCCATGACACAAAACAAATTTTGCGAGAGATATTTTCATGGAGCGTCCTTTACAAGGCTTTCGTACGCTAGGTCCGTCATTCCCTGACACTTAATTTGGTATATTACTACTTGTTACGTTTAAGTAGCACTGATTTAAGAAAGTTAGAAAAGACCCTTTAAGTCTTGCTAGTAGTTTATCCCTTTTTGTGCTACATCTGCCAGTGGTTTATGTCTGTCGTGGAGACACTAGCACCTACACGAAAACTAAAGGAGCACCTTGACTCTTCGAAAATTCTTATAAACTCACTTACCTCGTGCCTATGCGTAGATGACTGTCACATATTAATATGACAATGAAAAATTGCCCTCCACGACTTTTTATGACCCTGTTATCGGGCGTCTGAACGAAACTGGTTCCCGTGCCTCGTTCCTAGGCGAAAACGTATATGTCGTATTCCGGATGACAAACCTTTTTTCAATCAAGAAACGAGAATGTTTTTCGCTTTCTCGGGCATATCAACGTTCCTGTTATATTAGCAGGCTCTCGAGTTAACTGCAAACATAATTTTTGCTGAATGTGCAATACTTCTAAATAGTTATTATTTTACTGCAAATAATGGATTTTTTTTGCCAATTTGCCTTTTGACGTGACTATCTTAACTTTTCTTTTTTCAGTTCTACCTGCAATGGACACCAAAACCCGTGAGGCTCTCCTTCGCACAGATTTAAGCGTAAGTCAGCACGCTGTCGCCTGAAACCTAAATGACTTCCGTCTTTTAGGCAATACTCCGTTCTTTTGTTCGTTTGGACACTCCGGACAACCTCACGGAAACGCTGAATGACCTTGTAGATCGTTGTTTTCACCGGGCATGTCACTTTTGTATTTCTCTGACCTAACCTCTTCCTCTTCCAACCAGCCGTGCTCGGTGGTATGCAGACGGTATTGCGGACTGTGTTTCGTTGTGACCTCTCTCAAATGGGCTATTCCGGCTCCATTTGACAGTTTGCTCTCGTTGACTGCTTATGAGAATGATAGTACGATAGTCTCCTCCCTCCAAAAACTGCCCCTCTCCAATCCAGCCTTCCGGTTGGGCATTTTGGGTGGCATCATAGAGGCTCAGACTCATCCGATGCTGCCGGCCACTCTCAAGGCCAGTGTTTGCCTGCCGGAGGTCAGACTGGCCCAGCTTCGCAACGTAGAACACTTTCTGCGCCACGCATCCACACCCTCTGTTACTGTAGAGGCCATTGCTCTCCTGAATAAATGTATCGAGAATGCGTCAGTAAACGGACAGTACGAGGTTCGTTCTTCCTTTCAAACACACACACACACACACGGTTTCCTTCTAAGCGCAACGTATTTGAAATGCTATCTGACAGTAGCATTGCTTGATTTATCCCAATTAAAGGAATTAATGAAACTGGCTCAATTAAAAGTACTGCCTATGCTAAAAGTGGGTAATTGTGCCTTTCATATTGTGATATGTATTTAATTGTTGTGGCTGACTGGCGGACTGAGAGTCAGGCTGCACTGGCTTCTTCTTAATGTGGCTTCAGTGGCCTTCCCACCCCGTGGCAGCACGCTTAAGGGCTGCTCCGATCGTGCCAGCAACATGCGCTACCTCCCGCCTCCGGTCTTTTTGACTCTGTCTTGATACCAGGCTCTGGCGAGTGAGGGAAGGGTGAGTGCGGTAGATGCGGCGCAAGTCTACTACCACTTATAACAAATTCGCGTGCAAGTCACCGCGTCTACCTTCAGCTTGCTGAAGGCAGGCGCGGTGGAACTCGTCGAAACTGACTGTCGAACTGTCACACTGCACTTTCACACTGCACTGTCAGAAGCTTCGTTTAGAAGCTCTATCACACAAACTTGAGTGTTCCATACTATCCTCAATGTGTGTGTATGCTTCTTGAGCACTCTGCGTTATCGGTTAGAAACTTTTTACTCGATTACTTGCCCAGTCTGTGGATCCTGCCTACTAATGATCTGATGCCTCTATAACACTAATTTACAAGCGACAAAACGATACATATCAAATTAGATCGAAGACATTCGCATTTTTATTGTCATTGACATTTCTCCTGTTGTTCCTTTTTCCCCTTTGGTGTTACAGTTTAGTGAGACGGAAGGTGCAATCCTCAAAAGTGCCCTGTTGTGTGCCCTGACTCACTGTGACGACGCCGAGCAGTCTGTGATTGATATCGTCAGTCGCCTCTTTGACAATGTCTTCGCCCTCCTTTTTGACAACGGACGTGTTCTCAACAGCCTCTCCGACTGGCTGCTTACGAACGTTGTGCAGGAGGCTGTCATCGGCTCGCCTTATTGTCTCCATGAGGCCGTCATTCTCACAAAAGGCCCTCTGCGTCTGCTGAAGTGTCTCTTAAAGCACGCGAACCTCACTTGGGTACATATTGTCTTCTTCCTTCAGTGTTTCCTTGTCCTCCACCTTCTCCCTTATTATTTATTAGAGCTATTGTGGCCTTCATTCATTCATCATTCTTTTTGTCCTCTTCCGTTACCCTGGATCTTCCACTCATTCCTTCTCCTTGCCCGCCCTTGTCACCCCTCTCCCCCGCTTAAGTTGTTACCTTTCCTTTTCATGCTCCTTTTGATTTTTCCCTTCACACATCCCATCTTTCTTGTTGTCCAGATTCTGGAGCAATCGCCACATCTCATGACGAGTTTGATTTTGGCTTTCGCCTGGAATTACACAGCCGCCTATGCAGGAGACCTTGTGAATTGTATACTATCTCGCTGGTACGTTAGACCTCTTCAGTATAAGCCTAAGGTGGACCTCTTTAGCCCTGCCTCACCATTCTGTGGGCGTTTTTTGGCGGCCTGTGTGCAATCCGTAGTTTTGTGAGTGAAGTCCAATATTTTTTGTCGTGTTGGCAGTGACAGTGACGATGAGCAATGAATAGAAGGCTGCTTCCCCAGCATCACATTTTGTGATGTATTAGTCATCTCCTGGCAATTCTACTGACTAGATCTCTGCAATATTCCTGTGGTTGATGGCCTTTTTCTCTTATCGCTCCGTTCTGTTAATATAGTTACCACTGCCTGTGAGGTTGGGAACATAATTTTACTGTGCATCTAAATCTCCGAACATCAAATTCGCTTATCTGTCTTTAGGGGCTAATCAGTTTGGCACAGTCTCCGTGATATTGTATAACTTTTCGTATTTCTTATATACCGCTATGCTTCGACGTACCATGGCTAGCGCGCTCACTGGGCGCGTGCGTTCCAGTTGACCTAATTTTGACTGCCTAACGGACCTCACGACTGCCTTCTAGGCACGGAGGACACACGTCTCGAGTAATTCTTTCCCCTCAAACCCCCCCACACACAGTTGCACTATGTTCTTGCAGCGGATCAGTCAAGTGCAGAAGTAGCTCAAAAAGGATTGCCACCACCATTGACAAGGCCAACCACTCTCTTTTGGATAGGGCCCAATAATGACTGGCATGTGAACATTTATATATCGAGCCACCGAAC